ATTTTTCTTTAATTTAATTTTTCTTTAATTTAATTTTTCTTTAATTTTTCTTTAATTTTTCTTTATTCCTACTTTACTCTTTACTCAGATGAGACTCTTGTCTCATCTAAGACTATTCAGTCTATTCAGAATGTGAGCTCTTCAGAGCTAGAAACTGCTTATTCAAGACCTTTTCCAAAATAGTCTAGAGTTTTGTTAGGATGTCTTGAGTGCTAGCTGAAAATAACAGTACTCAACTATCCCTTGCTTTACCAAATCTAAGTGGGGTGGATAGTAATTAAGAACATACACTTGATTTGCCCCAAGACCACCTTCTAGAATAAAAATGTCCAAGTAGTTTTTAAGTCCCAATAGCAAGTGCTTTATTTCATTATGACTTCTTTATAAATGGTATTCTGACACTTAATGCTAATTACTTGGTTATTTTTCTTCCATTATCATTAAGGCATTGAAACAGAAGTATTTCAGTAATCGACCAGGACCCACTCCAGGAAATCAGCTGCCAAGACCCAACGGTCCTGCAGAAGCTGTGAAGGAGCAACAAAATGCACTTTTAAATTTAAAAAGGAAAAAAACAGAAGGAATAGATCGAGGTAACCTCTTAATATTTCACTGATTTTAAAATAGGAGCTACATGCTCAGAGAGAATGGGATATTTTCAATGTTTCAGAACACAAACTCTCTGAATGGACTAATTCCCTGGGCACCAACACCAGCTGAAACCCTTCAGTGATTTGTGGTTTAGGATAAATGCTTTGGGGTGAGAATGACTTAGTTCTGTGTTCTGATAGAATTAGTACAAAAAAGACTCTTCTATGATGCTTAAAATATCTATTTGTTAGAAATATCCAATTCCATTAATTGCTCTAATGGTGTGTGATACTGCCCAGTAAATTACAGGCTATTATGACGAGCCTTTTTTTCCTGAGGCATCTTACTTAGGTGAAAGTAATTTAACTTCACACCACTTAAAACAAAACAAAATGAGGAGAGGAGTATGAGAGTCCAAAACATACCATGTGATTCTGTAAAATGACAAACTGGAAGATGTAGATGAGATTCAGAGAGATTTCTGCTTTCTTTCTCATCAGGTAAGCAAGTTAATTGTTTAGACCATTCTGGGTAAGGAACATGAAGCACATTTCTGTGACCCTCCTTCAGTATTCCCCAAACAGTAGCATTATTTCATATCTTCGTGGCAAGAAAAGTGCTCAGGACTCAACACCTGTATCTGATGCTGAATTACTCAGACCTTCTACTAGAGAGGCAAATTAACTTGGACTTGGTCTTCTTAACAGTTGGAGTATGCTAGATAGCAGCTGTCAGATTATCATTGGCCATTTTGTTATTGCCAGTATAAGACTCAATAATACTCAAAAGTGGTATCTTTTTGTAATAGAGATGCTTCCATAGAAGTGTGTTTCTCCTCTTGAGTTCAGAGAGACAACTACATTATTAAGGTTTTAACTTAACTTTTAGGCACTTTGAATGGTTGTTTCTAAGTCTGTGTCAAATTAGAAGTAAAATGCACTACCTTAAGATTTCAACTTCAAAATAAAATTTAATCAGCTGACTACTTGCACGTTGTTTACTGACCCCAGTACCATCGGTCAACGGATGTGTGGGAACTTGTCAAGTTAAGTTATGGTAGCTTAGGCAATTAATTTAAGCTTTTTAGCTCCTTTTGCAAAGATCAGTTGAGGGTTTTGTGATTAGTGTTTTGGAGTACATGCCCTAAAATGGGCCTGTTAACTAAAGGACAGGAAAAAGAGAAATGCTTCTTTGATTTCTGTGATTTAATTGTATTTGACAATGGGCAGAGTTTCCAGAGCTGCATAAAGCTAGAACAATCATTGCTTTAACATCTTTCAGAAAGTCTCATCTTCAACAAGATGAAATCAAGCTTATGTGTTAAATGCTAGGAGTTTTGAGATTAGCTATAAATGAGGCATTTAAGAAGTCAGCATTAATTTTTGAGACATTTGAGTATCAGCATAAAAAGCAGTATCATTTCTACTAAGTGGAAATGGAAACATAATGGATTTTCTGATATGGATTTTCCATTATGTTTTGGTTTTGCCTTAGCTGGGCTGACAGAATCAGAAGGTCTCAAAGGTAGTGCCAACAAACATTTAAGGAGAGAGCCAATGTTAGAGCTAGCAAATCTGCTGCCTTGGATTTCATTTGCCATCCTTATATGACATTACCATCTAAACTTAAAATCTAAATAGTTGTTTGGAAGACTAATCCTACAGTCTTTATTTAAATAAAATTTGAAAGACAGCATGTTTTTACTGCTACTGAGGGTGGAAATATGCAAAAGTAATCTCAAAGAAAAATATTCCCTGAAATTCTTAGACTGGCCTGCCCTTGCATCCTGCACAATACATTTCCCTAGCCTTGTCCAGGTAGCACTCTGGAGCTTGGCAAAATAGACTGAGTGATTACTGATGGATACCCTCTTGTAAAATATTGGCATCAGGACCTGACTGTCAGGACAAAGATTCCTGCCATCACCCTAAGTGCTGCTTTTCCAAACAACAAAACCCTGTAGCCTGTGGGGCGTGTTCACCAAACTTAAGTACTTCTCACAAAACAGTCTCTATTGTCAGGGAAAAACTGTCACTGGATGGATGACTGCCTGTGAAAAGTATTAAACATGCATACTTTCTGTCTGCTGCTGCCACTTATTTCTGTTCAGTGTGGTATGTGGAGACACTGATATTATGATGACATCACTGTCAATCTTCACTCTGGCACTTAACCAAAAGCAGCACTGCTTCCCCAGGAAGCAGTCTAATTGATCTGCATTCCTACAGAGCTGTAGGTACACTAAACTTTTTTCTGAGTTAATGCAGCATAAAGAATCTACCTAATATCAGAACTATTCTACATTGGTTTGGAAATAAACCAAAGCCATTCTATTAATATCTAAGGTTAAGAATTTGTCCTGCATCTGACAGCATGTAAGAAAAATTATTAAGAGTATTAGTGTGGTGGGACAGGATTAAGGCTTAGCTTTTCATGCCAACAGTTGACTGGTTAGCTTTTTATATCAACAAAGAAAAATACTTGCATGTATCCCAAATGTAATTAATACTTAATTGCAGAATTTGTGACTCATTTGGAGTACACACTGATTTAAGTGTGCTTTGATTCATTCACTTTCTGAGGTTCATTAGAAGAAGTCATGTACTGCCACTGTAGTTAGCAGCATTAAGCAGTTCAGAGTAGATATATCTTGAGAATGGTATCAGATCTTGAGGAGAGGGCTGAACCCCTTTACTTTACTAACAATGTGATTTACACTTTTCAGGATTACCAAAAAAACTGATTTTTTGATTGCTGTGGATTGGGTATGAAAATGAGTGAAAATGACCGAAGTCCCAACCATTTTTAAAATGCTGTAATAGTCACAGGATGGTTATAATATTTTAACATGTAAAATTAGAATTTAATATTTCTTTACTGAAATTATTACAATAAATTGTTTTGAAGGAAAAAAAAAGATTCCTTTATCTGTTTTCGTGTCTTGTTACTTTGACTTGTGCTTTAGGGTAATAACTGTCAAAACTGCTTGCAGGCTATAAATTTACAGACTAATTTTGCAGAACCTCTGTGCTAAATTACGTGCTATCCTGTACAGATGTACACCCTTAGGAGGAAAACTACAAATAACACACTTCTCACCTGGAGCTTAAATGTACACATAACTGTCTTCCAATACCATAATAAAAATGTATCACTGTAAGGAAAGGGCATGATAATTTTTTGTTCCAGATAATAGGCTCAGGTGTTAACAAATGAGTTGGCATATGCTCTCTCAGCAGTCATGCATTAAGACTCTCCAAGGACATATCCACTACCTTGAAAACAATATGATGCACATATTGAATGTGAATTCTTTGGGGCTTGGTTTTGTTTTGTTTTTTTACAGATTCCAATCTGCCCGGAGAAATTATCTGTGTCATAGTTTAACAAGAGACAAATGTTTGCTAAGGAGGGCAGGTTAGGAAAAAAAAAACCAAACTCCTCCCTCTAAGTTATTATAACCTCAGAATTAAGAGGCTTCAGGGGGAAGGCGTGGAGAAGGAAAATAACAGCTCTTTATTAGCATGTGTGTATATATATATATTTAACAAACCTCAATAAGTAACAGTAATGCAACCAAAACTTTAAAAACAAAGTCCTACTTCCCCGGGTGGCAGCTGCCGTGGCTCCCCGTGAGAGTCCGAGGGCTGTTCCCGGTAGCTCAACAACTGCTCACAGCCTGGTGAGCGATGCTGGCTCCACTGCCAACAATGAAGGGGCGTTTCCCGCTTGTTCCAGGGCTATGGGCGCGGTCTTCGGCAACAGCTCCGGGCTCCCCAGCTCCGGAAATAACTGCCCGCAGCGGCGGGCGGACTGCTCCAGGCAGCAGCCGGAGGGAGATGCTCTGATATGCAGCACTGGCGCAGGGCGTGGCCTGGGACAGATACCTCGCTCCAAAACGGTCGGCAGGGGCTCTCCTGGAGTTTATCCCGGCGGTTGCTGTGATGGCCGGCGAAGGACTAGGGCCGATCCCCAACGGCAGGCAGGGGAAGGCTTCTTCTCGGAGGTTGAATTGGAGAACAAAAAGGTGGCTGCCGGCTCCATCGGGTGATAGGCAGGAAGACCAACAAACAAAGCCCCCAGTGCGTCGTACCAGCCAGTTTAAAAATAACCCTCCCCCACTCCCGTGCCCCTCTGCGCGCGACGTCGCTCCTCCCCGCCTCCCCCCACCCCGGGAAAAGGTGGGGATGGTGCCCTTTCATTGTAGGTGTACGCTACCCAGTAATCGATATTGGGGAGAAATTCCAACATCTCTTTTCAAACCTATAACAATCTGAAAGCATATAAATACTGTTTCCTTCACAGGCCCGAAGATTGCAGTAAGAGATGGAAGGAGATCTAACTGGGAAAACTATACTAGCCCTCCTGTCAGCCTGTGGCTGTTAAACCATTCGTAGTGCAGATACTGGACTCAGCTTTGCCTGAATTCCAGCGTGGTGGGGTTGCAAAGTGTCTGCTGGGTAACCAAACTTCTTCAATGGAGAAAAACAAGCCCATAGGCACTGTTGATGCAGCTTAACAGTGTTGTGGAGTGGATCTTAGGAATACCTAGTGAGCTTTTGTCATTTTCCCACCTGCAAACCACTTTCAGTGTTCTGTTTTCTAATTTTTGTGGCAAGTGTTTTAGTACAAGATTTTGAGGCTTGTGGAGGAGTAGCAATCATCATCTTCCTTGTGTGTTCCTTCATTTAACTCCTGCTTTAAGCCAATGTGAGTACGCGGCTTTGTAAAGGAGAATCACTACTCTCCCAGTACCCTACTGTGTTCTGTATTGGCTATTGGCAGTTGAAAAGTAAACAAATTTCTTAAAATCTAATTAACAGTGTAGAGAAAATGTTTATCCATTAAGAGTAGTTACAGCAGTTTTTATTGTCCATGTAATCAAACATCATCATCTTCCTCATTGCAGGCTAGGGGATTAAGAAAACTACAGTCCTACTTCTCATAGGCATATGTTCAAAAATATGTTAATCTGAATAGGGAAGAGGAGTTAGGAGTACTGTAAACTTTTTTACATTGAACTTTTCTATGGCAGCATTCTGACTGGTCTTCAAAGCCTGAAACCTTGAGCACCTGAAACAGATACTGCATTTTTTGGTATCCCAACTATTGGGTATAACAGGTAAAGTTTGTATGGCAGTGACAATTTTAAATATTCTATCAGTTCTGCTTTGGGAGTAACACCATTCTTTGTAAAATGCTCCATCTGTCTAGACAATACCCTTCCCTGAAGGAAACTTTTCCAGCAGAACCATTAGCAATCCTCTAAGCTCCGATTGGCAAAAGTTGTAGAGTAGGTACAGAGGTAGATGGGCAGTCAATATTTTAATGTATAGAGCACGGTTGCGGTGCTCTGTAAGAGCAGAGTTGGAGTGAGAGGGTATTTTGTGACCAAAGCTATTGTCTTGTGTGCTTCAAGTCACGTGTTTGCCACAGTAGACGCTCAAAAATAGCAGTGCTTATATAATACAAGTTCAGGAGCTGTTTCCTTCTAGCTTCCGCACAGCAATTCATTTGGCATGCTGTGCACTGCATGTATGGTTGGGGCCTGTTCTATACCATGAGGGTGTGCAGTAAATCTTGTTTTCGGTTGAGTTCCTGAATAAGTCTGCTCATGTCAGGGACTAAAATTGCCTTGCTCTTAATGATGGTGTTGTGCATAGATAAAATGTATGTACATCTTAGAGTATTATAAGATTAGAGAACGGTTCAGCACAATATTTTTTCTTGATCTCAGGCTTTTGGATAGTTTGATTTAACTTTTGTGATTTACGTCAGAACATTGGAGGAAATATTTGGGATTTGTAAATATAATATGCAATCATGTGCAATCAGTCATCTAAATATTGTTTAATTTAACTCATTACTTGGTTAGTTTGTAAGCTTTATATCATGCTAATCATGCTTCAGCATTGACAATCTGTTTCTTATCACGCCAAATTGTTGAATATACAGCTGCTACAATCTATTTGGCTTCTGTTCAGAAGCACAACAATCAAGGGTGCTTTCACCCTGCAATATGCATTGCTTGTGCAAAAGTCTAAGTGGTACACTTGAGCAAACAGGAACATAATCCAAATGCCTTCTCTGTTGGGTTGAGACAGTTCTTCTGCCCTTACCATCTTTTTATTATGTCTTACTGCTGTTTCTTCCTGAAAGGTTAGTACTCCTCTTTGCAAACATGATGGCATTTACCTCAAGATTTGATGGAATTTGAGTGACTTCTATGCATTCTACTGGTATTGTTTATATAATTGAATGAGAACTTTGTTTTTTTCTTCCACTTTGCTGCCACAATAAATGTAGCAAAATTCATTGTATGAGCACACAATACAGAAAGTTTTGTTTTAAACAAAACTGACTTCATTTTTTCACAGATACCGGGATTAGTTGTGGTGGTGTGGCATGGAGAACAAGGACCGTTAGCTATCACATTCTTATCTGTCTCCTTGGTTCTTGATTGATTCTAATGCTATGTGATCTTTGCAGCCTTTTTGTATTGACAAAGAAGGCTCAGAGCCAAATTAAGTTGTAATATAAAGTTGCTGCTTTGCATTTTTGGTGTGGTTTTATACATGGTGTGGCCTTGATGCACTCCAGGCAGCACTGCCAATTCTTTGCTTTTATCTGTCTTCTTGGCTTTTGTTATTGTTTTCATTCTCTTGAATTACTGCATGTACCCTGCTCACTTAACTCAGCCATTTCTTCTGATGCATAAATGTTTATACTTCCTATGCTCCAGTGTAATGATTCCTTTACAGAGCATGTTTCACCTGTGACCTGTTAGTACTCTGAGAGAAGGAAGGAATCCTTACAAAAGAGGATATAGTTGGGCCTGCTTTTCTTTTAATCCCTCTGTTCCCTCCGACATGTTAAACTCAGCTATGTAAACTTTGTCTTTGAGTTAAGCTATTCTCTCCACAAGGCTGTAATAAAATTACAATATAAACCAGAGATAGGTTTGCATACAGTGTATCAGGTTGAGTTAAAAAAACTTCTCAGAGAACTGCACAGAGGTCTTTGAACACTCTTGGCAGGCTGTATTTTGACATACACCTTGCTGATATCCAGTAGTGTGAGAAACTGGGAAAAAGACATGCATGGCTGCTGTCTTTCTTGGCTCTAAAATACAGCACTGCCTAGGAGGACCTCCTGTTGATCCTCATTTTACCAAAGACCTGTTGGGAATTAAGCTTGTTCCTCCTGCAGCCCACCACTACCAGGAAGACTCCAGAAGCAACTCTTGCTAGCTTGGGAGCTCCACTTGGCCAAACTTTTCATCACATAATGTTAATTTGTCATTTTCAAGCTTCCCCAAGCAGAGCTAGAATAAAATATCAGCTTTGATGCTTTTGAACTAGCCTCATATGTCTGTGTACAATTCTAGTATTTTCATTTTTTTTTCTATTCATGAGAAACTTATTCAGAAATTTTCTATTTGTGTCTTTTTAGAAACTCTTACCCTTTCAAATAAAGGTACAAGGGTCTGGGGGGCTCTGTTTCTTCCTTCCAAAGAATCAAATCCACAGGTTTGAAGGTCCTGCATGAGAATTTTCTGAGGGGCTTGCTATGTGGTCAGCACAGAGGCTGTCAGTGTTGTAACCATTTGTTCTAGAGCTGTCAGCTCAAATTGTGCCCAGAAATCTTCATAGTAACATTATTTATTACTAAAATTAACGGAATGATGTGTGGAGAAGGAAGGAGGAGAGGAGGCACTTCACTCTTAATTAGAAAGCATTAGTGTAATGTGGTTTATTGCCTACCACAAGAGGTTTATTCCTGTGACACTGACAGTTATGGTAAGCACACTTTAACAATACATTGTGAGCTGTGTGCTTTGGTTCTGGGAAACCTCCACTTTGAGCCAGGCTGGTAGGCAGGTACCCTCAAAGAATACTTAAGCTGTCCTGCATGAATTTGCCATCTGTGAATTAATTAAAAAAAAAAAAAAGTTCACTGTCAAAGAAAATTAACAGATAATTATCAAAGTTGTTGCAATCTAGCAATTCTGAAGAAGTCTACTCCTGGGTTGACAAATGTAAAACTGTCTTTTTCTTACTCCTCTAAATTTCCCTGTACGTCCAGGAACTTCCTCTAGTTATCTCACATAAGCATCCTGAGGAAATCAACATTGCAGAAGGATAGTGCCACCATGTTTTTTTATCTTTATATATGATGGTAGAAACCAATTTTAATCTATATATTTAATTGTAGGAGTTGAAATACTGATTTACAACCAGATGGGTTTTCCCTGATGCTAGGGACTGTGTGTGACAGAGAAATAAGGCAGATGGTCAGATATGGTAAAAATGGTCTGATGTTAACCTAGTGCTTGCTTGTCTATCTGAGAATCATCATTCTACAAGCTTGAAGCTCCTTGTAGGAGTGGAAAACTGGGTTGTTGCTCAGCTTGAGCCTGTTTAACTTAATATTCTTGTAGAGCTTCTTTAATAAGATCCTTAATATTGACTTTATCTGGTAAATCAGGGACGTGCAAGCTTCCCTTCTTCCATACGTCCCTCATTAACTCCAGTAAAACTCAGTGCTTCCCAGCCATCACCATGTTCCCTGCTGCTGGCTGGTTACCTGAGTGTCAGGAATGTGTAAATATGCTGGGAAGTGCTGCTGTCTCCTTTTCTTCCAGCACAATATTTCCTTAGCATCACCCAAGTTAAATGTCCATGTCACTTGTTTCTAAGGTAAAGATTTTAGCTGTGACTGTGAAACCTGAGACATCATGTAATAAAATCCTGATTAGGCAGGAAAAGCTATACTGCATCCAGTGGCTGGGAGGTCAGGAAAAAATGACATTCATAAGTGGCATTGCATGGCATTGTGCTAAAAAGGGTCAACAAAGAGCGTGCAAATGCAGCCCTTACAGAGTTCAGTGCAAAGCTGTGCAATACCACTCTTCCGTGCTTTCGTCACAAAAATTAACCTCCTCAGAAATTTGGTGCATTTCCTTAATAAACAATGCCGATCTTAGTCCGCTCTAAAGTAACACTGGAGTGAAAAAACTACCAAGCAGTTTATTAAACTCTGTTCTCAAACAAAAGGTTTTTTTAAGCAAATTTGCCTGGAAATACCAGCCTTGTGGGATTTTTAATACTAAACTTTTCAAGTGCTATGAAATGCTTTTTTTCAAAGTCCAATAAGTTTCATTTGACCAGAATCTAACCAAACTTGAATACTTAAATGCATGGATAATTTTTAAAAAATTAATAACTACTACCAGCTAGAAAATATTTGTATTAATTACAGATACAGTAGAATATACCACCATTTAGCATTATGGTCAACCTGATGTTCTGGAAGGGCCAGTTACGTGTGTGTCAGGCCCCACAGAGATGTCAGTTTGTCATCTGTGTCATCACTGCACCTTGGAGATTTATAGCTGCAGGTTGTTCGTGCCTTGCACTGGCAGATCCTGCAGTGCTCACGTTGCTGTTACAGTTGCTCTGTATCCCTCCCCACACCTTTTTGCGCAGTGGTGAGGGTGATCATCCACTCACAACAGTAATAAGTACCAGGGTATTCCCACCTGCTTTTTGTCAGGTCTGGGGCTGGGATATACTGTGCTGTGCCAGCTGCTCGTGGCATAATTCCTAGATACACTGGCTTTTGGAAGATGCCCAGAAGTCAAGGCTTCTGGAAACCCTTGGCTACGCAGGAGGATGTGGGGAGAAGTGGTACATAATCTAGGTGCTGGTGCATACTTGAGAAAAAATTGAGAAAGTCATGAGTTTATTATGGTCAGCAGCTACCTAGACTGCATGACAAATATGGTCTTGTAGCTACACACAAGTAAAACTAGAGGTGATAAATAAGTAATTTTTACTGTCTGATGACACCTTTGCATGATGCTTCCCTGTACTGGAATACCTTTTCCACAGGTAACAGCAACATCACAGAAGTTAGGTAATTGGCTGTGTAAGAGGTCTAGTTGGGAATCTGAGTGGTGGTTTCCAGAACATATGCATGCACATGCACAGACATTTCCCCTCCTTCCCAAAACCCTGTGTCTAATTGCTAGGCTCAAGCAAAATATACATTTCCTTGAAAAGCAATTTCATGCCTTTTTTATTTTAACAGGCATACAACGTCTGAATTTGCACTGTAAAAAAAGAACTGATTTTAAGTAAGTGGCCACCACAGTATGTGACAATCTGGTTTTGTTTTCTTTCTGTTTGCATTTACATTTGGAAAAAATTTCCATATTTCATTTCATCTGAAAAACAGCCAAGTGGTACATTCTCCCTCTCATTGGATGCAGACTTTTTGTTCTCTTCAGTTTGCCAGTTGACACAAACCAAAACCCTTTAATTATTGAAAAATCTTGAAATTATATAATATTGAAAGCATCATTTTGAGTTGTAGCTTCATTTCAGAAGGTGTGAACAAAGCAGCATAATTCTTAATATTATCCTAAAATACACTGAGCTGGTTCATGCTGTGTGAGTATTGAGGAAGCATAGTCCTTGAGCATTCCTGTTAAGTTAAGACTTAACTGTGCTATGTCCAAAAGCTTTCTGCATCACCACTTTTGAGTTCTCACTACAGGTACCAATACTGCATTCTCAGAGAAGGAGTATGTGAGAACCTCTGCTTCTGTAACAACAGTCCACGTAGAAATCAGTCAGGGATTAGTAAAGGTGCAACATAAGCTAAACTGCAGGTGAGATCTGAGGGTAATGATGCCTGTCCTGGTGACCTGAGCAAAGCTGATGTGCCACAGAAGGTCACTGGTGTTTATGCAAATAGGCTGGATGTCTTGGAGGCTGCCTGAAGGTAAGTGGCTCAAAGTGACATGCTCCTGAGAGTTCAGTTTTTTCTACTCTACCCTGCCTGTGCACATGCGGGTGAGGAAAGTGGCTTGTTCCCTGGGCACAACTAGCTTCTGACCAGGGGTTTTCTGGAGAACTGTCACACAGTTACAACTTCTAACTGAGCACTTTCCTTTGTTCCTCACTCCCTGGCACTTGAACTGAGACCAGAGTTTTAACTCCATCCCTGGGTGCTCCTTGGCTGTCTTACTTCCTGTTGCAACATTCCATGTCCCTATTCTACCTGACTTATTAAATCTCTGTAAGTCTAACTTACAGAGTTCGACTTATGCAAAGCAAGGCCAAAACATCTTGACTTTCTCTGCTGATGCTGTGAATTCCCTGTCACTTGAAAGCACTAAATCAGAATTAGCATCTCTTTGAAGAGACCCCTGCCAAAAAGAACACTTTAAGGCAGGAATTACTGGTTGAAGATTTCAGGTCAGTAAATCAGACTAGCCTTCTCTGATTTCAGGATGTGTGTTTGATGGATAAACCTTATTCTAAATGCATGGATAGTTTTAGAGTGACAGTTCTTTTCCTGCAGTAACATCTGCACATTGCTTTGCTATTAGCCTGCGTAATGTTTGCCAGCAACACAACAGGGAAGTTCAAGCCTTTCTGGTGACGAATTTTTCATCCAAAAAGCCAGGGCACACATCCCAAGGTTCTGAGGTGCTCTCA